TCCACCACAACCCCATCCCTCCCGTTTTTGCAACCATCCCCCAGAGGAAGCAGACCGGGAGTGTTTTTCCACCACAACCCCATCCCTCCCGTTTTTGCAACCATCCCCCAGAGGAAGCAGACCGGGAGTGTTTTTCAACCACAAACCCCCATCCCTCCCGTTTTTGCAACCATCCCTGGACCAGTGACAGGTGCATGAGCAGCCCAGTTATTGGAACTAAGCAAGGAGAAGCCAGTGGACAAAATGAAAAGGGGCCACTGTGGTCTCAACTTGGGCTCAGGGGCATGCTCCATACCCACAAACCCTACCTCCCCTTTCACCAATGCAATGAAAGCGGCCACTCCGGTCAGGAAGCAGATCGGGATCGTTTTTGACCACATATCCCATCCCCTCCTGATTCGCAACCCCATGGACAGGCGGTAGCAAGTTAACAAACAGTTTACCAAACTGCTACGCTGCGTGGCAGAAACCGCTCCCAGTTGCAAAAGGGTCGGGGGCCAGGGCCGAGTGCCCCGGGGCTGGAGCCGCCAGTGCCGGAGCTCGCAAGTTGTCTGGTTGCTATGGCAACGCGACGGCTGCGGAGGCGGGCCCAGCCCCCTGCGGCGCCCCGGTCCCTGCCCGGGCGGCACCCGCCTGCCAGCGTGGGGGCAGCTGCACCGCCACGCGCTGTGCCCTGAGCCCGACGGTGCAGGGGCGGCATCGGGCGGCCCCCGGCCCCGGCAGGTAAGCGCAGCTCAGGCTCGCGCCTTTTCCTGCCCGCCCACCCGCCACCCCAGCAGCTGGCTGAGGGGTTCCCGCCCCGCCCGCGCCGTGTGGGCTAGAAAGCGGGGTACGGGCCCTGCTCTGGGATCGCCTCCTCCGCCCCTGGGGCTCTGCTCCGTCCCGCGGCTGGGCACGTCCGCAAGGCATGTGGCCGAGATCCGCTCCCGGGGTTGGGTGGTCCAGCCGGGCACGGGTGCGGCGTCTCCTCCTCTGGGGAGTCCCGCAGCGTCCCTGGCAATGCACGGCCCGAGGCGCGGTCTGCCCCCATCAGCAGGGGGAGCTGGGATCCGCGAGAGAGGCTTATTCCCTGCTTGTTCCATTAACTTTTGGGGGATGGCTGTTTTCAGTTAAACGGCGCTAGTTGTGGGAAGTGGGACTGCGATTTCATGGCTTGATCGTAATCTGTAAACCTAGAAAGTGAGGTTGGTTTTGGCACGTCCCTCTCTTTAGTGCTATTTTTTTTTAAATGGGCATACATCTGTAGTCTTCTTAGTTAAAAGTTAGTCTGCATTAAAAATGCAGATCGGGAGCACCATTGCTTCATTCTGGTTTTTCAGTTGTTGGGAGTGACTGACAGTGTTGTTGCCAGTGCAGTCTTGCATCTGTACAGGTATTGTGAAGGTCAAATCATCATCAGCTTCTGGTTTTATATGGCACTGGAGAGCTCTGAACTCATTTAACTTCAGCCCCTTCTACCAGTAAAATTGGTAAAATCCATTGCACCAATAAAACCAATTTAAGTGATCTGGAAAGCAGACTTCAAAACAGACTTAAGTGCTGAGGATGATACTGCTGTCACTTGGAGGTTTTGGGAAATCAGTTGAATTGTATAAAGACTGTTACTCAGTATCTGTTTTGAAATAAGGTTAACATTTAAAAAAAATCATTAAAACAATGTACTCAGCTGAGAGATGTGCAATATTTTAATTAAGCTAGAGGTCGACTTCAAAACAGTTGTGCAGACTGCATAAGTCGTCTTCAGAGAAACGAGGCAAGTATATGATATGTTAAAGGGACACTTAAAGTTTTGTGCAAAATGGCCCTGCCTTAAAAGAACTTAATGGAGCAAGTCATCTATTTTCTAAATACCTAATTTAAAATATACCATTCTTTTGTCATGGAACTAAAAACAAAGACAATCCCCCTCAAATCTAATTGACTGCGAAGCCATAAAGTTTTGTGCTCTTCTGCAACCTCACTTAACCGTCAAAGACAGCAGAGTTATGTTGAGCTCCCAGATGTTGTGAAAACTCCTTCACTAGCAAGACACAGTGCAGAGAGTTATAAGGAGGATTGCGGTAAGAGACAAAAATCTAAACTTGCAAATTTTTGCTGATGTAAAGCATTATAGGAACTTTTAAAAATACTCTTAACAAAAATAATTCCTTTGAATTTTTCATGGTGAGTCTCCTCCCGCTCTCCCTCCACATCAAAGAAACACTATTTCTGTTGTCACCCTAGTAGCAGCAGAGAGGCTAAGGATTGAGTTAGCATGGAGACTTTTTAGACATGGTCTAGGCCAAGGCTAGGACACATTGATAAATTGATCTGGTAAACTATTGCTGCCATTGCTTTATCTGTTTTGTGAGGGATGTCATTTTCCAGAACTCAATCTAGTATCTTAGGCAAACACTAAATTCAGTTAAATATACTAAACACATTTATTGCTGATTTAAAACAGACATTTGAAATATTTACTAAAGCCGTAAAAATTCAGCTAAGGCTACAATGGGAGTGGAGGCTTGCATGTGTGTGTTTTATGCCACCAAGACTGTAGCAGGATCCTCAAAATTGAAATAATTTTTCTAAAATTCATCATTCAAAAAACACAGAGGTTAGTGAATTTTATGTGGTAGTTATTATGTAAATAAAAATAGCTATTAATTTCTGATCCTTACAAAATAAGAATTAGTTGGAAAAGGACAAATTCAATAGAGGTTAGAAAATGTCCTGGTTGCCAAGATGATGGGCAGTTCAAAAGCAATTAAATGCAGTTGGTATAGTTAGCAGGTGTTTGTAAAATTAAAGTTACATTTGAAAATGAGTGTCTTCCAACAGGGTTCACTAGTCTGCAGTTTTTTAACTTTGTCCCACCCACCCCAAGATCATCTCTTCCTCATCCCTTTTCTGTTTCATTTGAAATGCTTGTTTACTTGTGCCTTGGTCAGCATGCCATTTGGATATTGTAGACAACCTAGAAGTTTTACTCATCTGTTACGCTAGATGAGTACACCTTTCCTCCAGCAATTTATTAAACTGTGTAACTGATTATTAAATCATTTCTGAAATATTAAATTAAAATAATTTCATAACTGCAGAGTTTTAGAACGTAAGGGACAATAAACTGATATAATTATTGTATCATTGCTGTAGAATAATTAACAGTTTTTCCCCCTAATTTTCAATTACTTGTCATTTTAAATCTCACAGGTAATGCAGCATTGTATAAAAAGGCAACAAGAGAGAACCAACTAGAAACAAATACTATATTTAGTGTATCTTCAGTGCTGTTGTTTCATAATTTTAAGGGTTTGTGCAAAATATGTTCTAGTATTATGAAGGCATTGGTTGTGACTTCTTAGTTAAATTTATTTGAGTTTTTCACTTAAACTGGGGATCCAAACTGTTTGTTTTGTATGAAGAATACATTGTATTTCCCCAAATTTACACAACATATTATGTGCTTAAAGATGGAATTTTCTGAAAATTTTCAAGTAAATTTATTAATTGGTTTGGGTTAAACCTAATCAGAAATAAGCCCTCTAAGAAGGCCCCTCTTTTTAAAAACTCATCTGGGGGAAAAAACAGTCCCACAATCACTAAAATTCACTTAACCATCATTCTGAGAATCTGTCCCACCCAAGCCACTTTTCATATTTTCAAAATATTTTTAATTAATCATTTCCAATTATATTTTATAATGGAAAGTTTGTGCGCCAGCAGAGACTGGCGAATAGAATGCTCTTTTACAAAAACTCCACCATTTCTCATTGTTCTTGATAGGACATAGTCCACAGTCTCCCCTCAATTAAGGTCTGGTCTACACTGGGTGGTGGTGGTGGGGAATCGATCTAAGTTACGCAACTTCAGCTACATGAATAACATAGCTGAAGTCGACATACTTAGATCTACTTACCGCGGTATCTTCACTGTGGTAAGTCGAGTGCTGACACTCCCCCATCGACTCCGCCTGTGCCTCTCGTGGAGTACCGGAGTCGAAGGGAGAGCGCTCGGCGGTCAATTTATCGCGTCTTCACTAGACGCGATAAATTGACCCCTGCTGGATTGATCGCTCCGGAGGTAAGTGTAGATATGCCCTAAGCTAGCTGCCCTCTCCCTATAGCTTTTGCAGATGGACTTTTAGGTTACGTGTAGTAAAGTTGGCCAATACCTCCCATTGTTCCCAATAGGAGTGAATCCAGGCTGTCCTTATGTTTTTAGGAGGCAGGGAGGGACCCCATGAGGAGCTGGTGAATATCAGGAAGGAACAGTGTGGTAAACAGGTTAATAGAGAGGCAGGTAAGGAGGCTATGGGAACAGGGATGATCAAATAAGAAGGCTGTGGAGATGTAGGTGAATGTGGGGGAATATGAGGGAGAACTAGGTGTGTTATGGTGTAGGAGAGAGAAATTGATAAGAAGGGGAAAGCTAATATTTGGGGCTGTTGGGAGGCAGGAGATGATGAGGGAGCATGAAAGGAGCATGATAGAACAGGGAGAGGAACAGGAAGGGTCAGATGATGGCAGCAGGATAGTGATAGTTACTAATCAACTATCTCCCCTCTTCTACCCCAGGTTTTAATAGAGGGGAAGTGGAGTACCCTTTCAAGCAACCAGTTGGAAGGCTTATATGCTTGTGCATTCAAAGTTGAATTTTGAACAAGAAATGACTGCATACAAATTGAAGCTGGGCAGCTTCTCCGTAACGGCTCAAACATCAGATGTCAGATGGAAAATAATGTAGACTTACTTATTGCTCTTAAGTAACATGATTTTAAAATAAGTCTCATAATTTTTTGAGCTCTGATTCATGATTTTTGAACCTTTGCGGTTGGCAATACTCCTTCCTCTATTCCCCAATGCAGTCTCATTTTTTCTGACCTGGTATCTCCCATCCTCAGAAGGCAATCAATGGCAGTCTTTGGACCAGCAAACTTCTCATGGTTTGTTGCAGAGGATCTTCTGCCGTGATGAACCCTGGGAACCCTGGGGCTGTCCCAGGAACGTTGCTCAGAGCTCATCTTGTCAGAAGCTCTCTCACTGTTGTTTTCCTCTCCATGTCTCAGTCCCTAAAAGCTATAAGTCAGAGAAGTAACTGGGAGGAGAACTAACTAACTCCCCCTGCCAAACAGAGCTCTGAGCAGTCTTCCAGTGCTTAACCAGCTCTTGTGTCTGATCATGATTCAACACACAAGGAAAGCCACTGCGATGAACCGCTGAAAATTAGTTGGCCCAAGATTGCCTCCAGCCACTATTCTGAGCTGAGGGGAACCTGGGGGGGGTGGGGGGAGGAGGGGGGCGGGACGGAGGGAAGAAAGATACAGATTTGCATCTGTGTGACATCAAATGCTTAAAACATTAAAAAAAAATACATATACAAATGTGCAGTTGTCAATATTGCTCCACACAGAAAATGTTGAGAGCATGTCTTATTCGATAGCTTAACTATTCATAGATTTGCTTTTGTGGTTTTGTGCCAGCTATGTTGTAATATAGCAACTTTAACTGGTGCACAAGAAAGCTTTTTGTGTATGAATTGATATTTCGATTTATTGTACATTACTTGACCTGATCATCTGCTGTCAAATGCCCTTTCTGGAATTTAAGAATAGCCTAAAAGATTTGACTAACTTTCTGATCCCAATGTTTTGTTGAACATAGTTAAAAGTTATGAAGAGCTATGTATGTATCTTAATGCAATGCTTGTCTGAAATGACACTGATAGCCTGCTGTGAGGAAAAT